TATATGTATATGTATATATATGTACATGTATGTATCTATATGTATATGTATATATATGTATATGTATGTATGTATGTATATATATATATATACACATATATATGTGTATATATACTTTGATCATACGTTACATTTAAATAGTGAAAAATAGAGGAAATTATGAAGTGAATCAAAACATGAAAATAAAGTCTTTCAAATAATTTATAAGCTTATTTTCTTTTCTTTTTATTTATTTATTAGCAATTTTATGTGTTGTTGTTTTTACCAGAAAACTTAAAAACATTTTAGTTTAGGCTATACCCGTCACAACGATATCTATAAATAGGTACTGATGTGCATTTTACTGGTTCAGTGTTTGATAAGATCAGATGTTTTCTCAGTCTAAACCCAAAGACGTGACTCTGCACGCTGTGAAATGTAAACTTCATCAGATTCAGTGATGGTCAAAGCCAACAGATGGGCCACCATAAGGTTAGGCCTCATGCAGCACCCTGACAGAAGTCTCCAGAAACAAACTGGAACTTAAGGGTTCTTGTCATGAACGCAAGAAGTTTGTAACTCTCTAAGAAGAATCCTGTTCTTCTCTCACCGCTTTGTTATACGAGTTTAAAGATCATTAAAAGACACATTAATAAAGATTCAAGTTTCTGCTAAACTGAGGAAATTAAAGTAGGAAGATCAAAATAAAAGAGATCCTGGTTTCCTCTGGATCACTTATAAATTATTCTAAATAAGCATAATTTGTTGATAAATTCTTCAGCTCCTTTGGCCCAGGGCTTATCATCAAAGTTTCTGTTCTAATTGTTTCTGCAAAAAGAAAAAGATAAATATAACCAGCAGTCCACAAAAAAAATTCAATGAGTTTGAAAATTGCAAAACTTTGCAAACTGATTCACTTTTCATTTCTCTTAAATCAAATCACAAGTACCGACTAGTGGTTTTCTGTAACATGTAGTTTTCATGTTTAAGATACTCGAACACAGAAAATTGAACTAGTCTCAGAGGAAAGACGATAAACACGCATGCAGAAGGTGTCTGTCGGGTCCAACCACAACATTTGTTGCTTCAAGTCCCTGGAAACAGAAGTCAGGTCCCGCTGGTTTTACAGTTCAATGGGAAGTAGGCTGATGGTAATATCTCACTGGGCTGCAACTGCTGGCAACAAATTGCAAACTGCATTTTGAGTGACGTTTCTAAAATTTTTGTCGTGGTTTGAAATGTTCTCACGTGATTCGCCTCGTGAATATGAACATTAGCATATTTTGAACAGCGGCTTCGGATGTTATCAGCCCATTTAACGGACGTTATTAGTTGTTATCATCCCCATAGGTTGCGTTCAGACTGTCCCTCCTGCCTCATAGTACGGGAGTTTTAAGGGCACGTTGTTATTGCTGATAATATGCAGCTTTGCATGCGTGCAAAACTGTAAGCTTTTTTTTTTGTTAGCTGTATTTAATAATTTTCCTAAACCTATTACACCTTACCCAGAGCACTGACCCTAAATCTAACCCCCAGACCGTTTCTCTTAACCCAACCATGTGATCAGCACTAACAACGTACCTTTAAACCTAATGGGAGGTACAGGAGGGGCAGTCTGAACGCAACCTATGTGGATGATAACAACTAATGGCCATTTAATAGGTGATAGCATTCGAAGTGGGTGATTTTAAAAGTTTGAGACTTTTTTTTTTTAATAGTTGTTGCAGCGGCCTGAAGCTCGTCTTGAACTCATCTCAAGCCACTTTAAAAGTCATGTCTGTAATTCTGGAGCTGTATGGTTTGATATTTATGCAAACTCCCAGAAAGTCTGGTATTAAAATCTTAATTTCCTTGCAATTTTGTGACTAACTAGCCCTCAGCTATGAACGTCCAGTTAGATCAGGGGTGTCAAAGGGGTCCAAAATTAAAACCTTTTTCAAAGTAAGGGCCGGTTTCAGAATCTGCATTAACTCAAGTTAGATACCAACATCTTTTCTTGATTGCAGGTTCCTCAACAAGAGTTCGTTTGGTCTCATTAGACGTTTTTTGTTGCATTTTTGACATTATAATCAAAAATTACTGAAAGAAAATTAAGTAATAAAAGTATTTTACATTTAAAATAACATCTTGCGGGCCAGATAAGATGTTAAGGAGGGCCACATTTGGCCGCCGGGCCTTGAGTTTGACACATATAAGTTAGATGTTACCTTAAAATGTGCTCTAGTCGCCAGGGGGCCGCTGCTCTGAACTGAGATACAAGAAAATCAACGTGAGACCTGAGCCCTCAGATATTGTAAAGCAAGCTTCCCCGCAGACCAGAAGAACGCAGCGCATCTCTCTAAACAAAAGATTCTTCAAGCCCTCTGAGAACGAAACGCCGGCGAGAATCAAACGAGCTACTTGTTGACCCAGCAGTGACATGACTCAAGGGCTACCAGAGAGTGCCTTAATAAGTATTCTTAAACAGGGCGGATTAGCCAGATGGCCAGATCACTCTTTTCTCCAACCTCTCCCATCTGTACATTTCCAGTGTTCCCCTCATTTGGTCTCTGCTAAAGTCATTGGGACTGGCAGATGAGACCGTGGCTGCATAATTTAGGCTACTGTTACCTACAGCACTCTTTGACTCCAGATATAATCTTTATTGCTCGCAGAGAGAAAGTCCATTAAAAGGTGTACTGTAGGTCCCGGTGTTGAAAGGTTCCTGGAGTGGTGCCTGCTAGAGCCTTTAAAAGACCCCTTTCTTCACTTCCAGTGAAAGCAGCTATTGAGGGTGCACCGGGCAGAACAGCATAGTGGAGGTCCGCATTTACAGAGACCAGTCAAAAGTGTTCTGTATGTGGCGATGGAAGGGTAGAAGGTAGTGGACATGCACAGAGGTAGATAGTTTTCTTAAAAGATTACTCACTAACAAAAACTGCACTTTACATACAATAGCCATTGCAAATCATGTTCAGACAGAACAGCTGCTGTGCTCTGATGAAACAAAGCAGCTTTGAAAGATTGTCTTTTATTGGGAGCAATTATCCATATTGGCAAACAGAGGCACAAAGCCTGAAGAACCTGGCAGGAAGACAGCCCAAGGAAACACTCGTCACAAGTATGAGTGAGAGGAAACTTACAGATATGAGAAACTTCAGCTTCAACAGCCTCTTCTCACTTGTGAACCACTTTAAAATTCATGAATGTTGCCTGGAACAGAGAAAGCAAAACAGGAAGCAGCATTTTTATTATCGTTGTTTGGTTATTGTACAAAGAAATGGATTATTCTGAAGGTGTTCTCAAAGTTAAATTACAAAAAGAGAGAGTCGGCAAACATTTTGACGAACACTTGTTGATGCGTTACATCCTGCCAGGGGCGATTCTAGAATCTGACCTCTGGGGTGCTTAGCCCCCAGTGCTGACAACGGCTCTTTGTTTTGAACAACACGGTGGCCATTGGCACCAGAAGCATTTGTGAGGGGGACACAGTGGCGGGGGGACTGGGGGGCCTCCCCCCAGAAAATTTTGAATAAAGTAGATGCCATTTCCTGCATTCTGATTTATTTTACGACGTTGTCAAACATCTACGTTTACCTACCGTATTTTCCAGCGTATAAGTTGCAGTTTCTTGCATAGATTTGTCAGTCCTGCGACTTACTGTAAATACTTTTTTTTCCAGATTCATAACGAAATTTTTGACTGACGCTTTAAATTTCTAAGAACTGCAACAGCAAGTCCTCCCATGCACGCTCGCTTCACTCAGCTGGTGCAGGCGGAGGAATGGTGGCGAGCTAGCGGCTCTGGCCACGATGGATGGATGGATGGATGGATGGATGGATGGATGGATGG